GCCATTGTGTGACCAAAGGAGAGAACAGGGCCAAACCTAACGACAGGACAGAGAGGACCCTGCGGCGAACCGACCAGAAGATGAGGCGGGATCACCAGGGCCCTCCACTGTTGGGACAAGGTTGTGTGACACGTAACGGTCTAACCAAGAACCTGAGATAAGAGTATTCCAACTGTTACGAACCGGTAAATAAGAACAAAGTCGTTTGCAGATACAAGCACGTGCTTGTTCAACGTATTATTTAAAATTGTGTTAAGTTAATGCAAGGCAATTTAACCAAGTAAAACAAAGAGATAGTTCAGTGTCACTACAAGGTGCTATACACATTGCTGTTTATGACCTCGAACGATCCCTGACTTCACTGACAGATTATTAGTGTAAACCACTATAATTGCCCCTCCTATCCTCTTTGTTTGTTGTTTCTTACCCATTAACGACCTGATGACCTCCGAAAGTTGATTGGTCTATGCGCACTATTATAATCTTCCTGTTTGGCTGCTGTTTCTGATCTCTGAGGATGGACTCCTGTAAGAGTTCAAAGCTCGGGACAGTGAACCAATAGATCCAGTACTCGACAAGTTCTCTTTGTTATTCATGTAAATACCTGATACGCGAACGTTATCAGTCACTTGAGTCCATTGACTTCGATTGAATACGCACATACCATGCGCTACCACTCGAGCATACATTTTTAGTTATATTTCTGTAAAAAGTATCATTTTCATCATCCCCCGAAGAACATGAAGAATGAGGCAGCAGTTTATACACAAACGTACATTTCAACTGACGTTTTGGAAACATGTTCAGTTCCATCATTAGTATAACTTCGTGGTAATGTTCGCTTACCGTGACTGCTTTGGCCATGCCGCCTGCCTTGTATCATATGCATGCTTGCCGCACGAATTCGACGCGTCCTTTCACTGTTAACTGACCGTGAGGTTGACCGCTGGTGGGCTGACATGACATATGCCTCGTTTTTATTGTTGGAAAGTCAGCGTGCTTTCTGGCCCGCTCTCTTCAGCCAATGGACTGATCAGTTGTTAATGCACACTTGATTTGATGTCAATCTCGTAGGCA